CCCAGCCAGCCTTGGATGTGTGACATGTTGTAATTATTGTTGATGCAAGTGCTTGTTTTTTGATGAGATTTTTTGTAATGCTTAGACAATTGTTTTCTACACATGTAACCTTTTATTATAGAACAGAAATCAATAATAGATTTTTGCAAGTTTAGTGTTCCACAAAAACGAAGAATTTAATTACCTTGTAATTAATTTGCCATTTAGTCCAATAATAATTTATACATTTTAGTATATATCAATTTAAAAATTGCAAATGTTAGGATAAGTTAATTAATAGGTTAATTATTCACTGGGTTTTAATTTTGCTTATTTCGCTGATGAAAAATATGCTAAATTAAAACCCATTGAATATGTAAATTGGAGCATAGAACACATTGTCTAAATGATAAAACTGTGAATTTAAAACCCACTGAATATGCCTGAAATGGTAAATCAGTGAAATTTAAACCCAGTGAAAATTAGTCATTTTACAGTATCTATTTTACCACTGTGTCCCTGTAGTGAGTGACAAATATTCTGTAAAATTGAGAGAAAAAAAGAGGTTTTTTATCACATGATTTACCTGTACACATTAAATTCATTGTATGGATGTTATTCAATCATTGAAGTGTCTCCTGACCTTGTAGATCACGGGATATTCCGCAGAAACAGGCAATTGTTAATTGTGTTGTTTCTTTTATTTTTAGTATCTGATAAGGGAGATTATAAATAAAACCCACACTGATAAAGCACTAGTATATGTTGCTGGAATCAGTGATTTGCCGATATTCTTTGGTTCTGCTATCTATGCTTTTGAAGGCATTGGTGTGGTAAGTATGTAGTTAACTGTACACAGGTTTTCAAATTCAGAATTATGATGGCACCCTATTTCAAGACCAAAATTTCTAAAAATGACCCATAATCACAGAAATCTATATTTAACCCTTTCACCACCAGACTTTCTCGGTCCACATTTTTCTGTGTGTTTTTCTTATATTCTTCAATATTTCTGGAAATAAACCCTAATTTTGTAACCAACAAAAAAAAATTAGATTCAAATTTTCAGTTTATAATTTGGATATTTTTGTACCAATCTTCTGACGGGAAAATGTATGAACGACTATAAACAAGACTATTTTGTAAATTTGTGATGAAAAGATAGGAATTGATGGAGAAAAGGTTAAGGGCACAGATGCGATCAGGTGACATATCTAATATAAAGGTCTCATGCACTGGTTACTTGTAGCCTCTAGTTTTTTGATTGTTCATAATCTGTTGAGTTCAGTTCAATTCCTACCAGTGGCTGAAGACAACAAAGTGGTTGACCAACTACTCTAGATGTGTGTGCCACTGACTCCATGGTGATGTTTAACTGATGTGGCTTTGGGGAAAATTTGAAGCAATCAACCAGGTTGACATCAGAATAACGCATTGTGTCCTTGCCATAATGCAATTATGATTGGAAGATGGTTTCATAGCCCTGTATTATATACTACCATACATGGAATAGCATATTTGCTGTATTAGGCACAGACTCCTTGGTTAAATACAGAAGCACATGAACTAACAAAAACCAAATCATTCAAATTGCAGTCAAAAAAAGTTGACATTGACATTGAATGTTGGAAACAGTCGCCTGACAAAAATATTTATTTTTTCAAAAATGCAATGCACATCCACTGAAATACACGATAATTTCCTTCTTTTTCAGGTGCTTCCATTAGAGAATAAAATGAAATATCCAAATGATTTTAAAAAGGTTTTATATGCCGGAATGAGCTTAGTCACTGGACTATATTTATCTATGGGTATATTGGGATATTTATGTTTTCGTTCAAGTTTAAAAGACACCATTACTTTAGATTTGCCAGAGAATGAAGGGTGAGTTTTGCTGGTTGTGGTGCTACATGGCATAAGATAAAATAAAACCACATCTTGTGGTCAATACATATAATCACATGCAATGTTTATGTATGCATGTATACTGTGGGGAAAAGCTACCCATTTGTTTGCATCATTTTGTATGCAAAAACACATGTATTTAAAACAGAAACTGTGCAGACAGACTTGTAGTTTTAGACTAGAATGGAAACCTAATTAGAAATCATTTGATTGTCAAAACATTAATAATGATTATGATACATATGCATATCAATGTGGTACCGATATACTCTTGCTATATGGGATAATGTTCATTGATAATGGCGATTCTTTGATATTCTTTCAATCCATTTTCTGTGACTTAATTTATTCTTTTTCTTGCAGTCTTTACTTAGCTGTGAAGATTCTTTTTTCCGGTGCTATATTTGTCAGTTATGGTTTGCAGTTTTATGTACCTGTCGACATTATATGGCCAACTTTTAAAAACAAACTACCAGAGAAGTACCAAGTGTTCGGGGAATACGTCTTCCGAACAATACTTGTTATTATCACGCGTAAGTATTTTTTAATTTAATCTGCTTAATAATATAATAGGCAGATAACACAGAATGTTCGCTAAAACGCTATATTACCTGAGAGCACACTTGAGGAATCTTGGTACTAATGTTATTCGTTTATTTGGTACATGCATCTCAAAATATGGTGGAAATTGTTGGAAATTTCTCGTCCTGAACTTTTTCAAACATTTCTACCATCTGGGAATGCCATAAAATGTTTTGGGTTGGTGCAAATACTGCAAAATTACGATTCGCTGTAACTTATGGTGATATGGTGCCGTTGTTTGAATTTTATTATTATTCATGTTGTGTATCCTCATACATGGATTAGTTACTCCAAGTTACTTCATGCAGTAATTTTATCTAATTGACTAGGACTATCTGTCTCCTACCTTATTAGGAAATGTAAATTCCAAATAAGGACAGCAACTTGTTATCCAAATGACTGGTGCAATCATTACTCCTGCTGTTTTGTGTTCATACTTAGTTTTTCATATCATACCAGAGGTGATTTTTCACATCTAGCTTTTCAAGCTAGTCAAATACATCGTGCTCATGAGAGATAATTTTAATATTTAATATTCATTTGATAATGCTGTGAAGAGAATCGTGAGAAATTCGATTTATTTTGCTTGATTAAATAATTTTATATACATTGCTTTTCAGTGCTACTTGCCGTCAGTATTCCCAAATTAGGCTACTTTATCTCATTGGTTGGATCCTTAGCAAGCAGTGCTCTCGCCTTGATATTTCCACCAATCCTAGAAGAGCTTACATTTTATAAAGGTTACAGTGGCATGTCGAAGTTGAGGCTTTTAAAAAATGTTTTAATAATCACTTTCGGACTGTTGGGATTTGTTACTGGAACATTTGTGTCCATTCTTGACATTGTTGAAGCGTTTTTACCGCCTTCTCCAACGCTCGCACCATCTGTAGTGAATACGACACTACCTTTACCATTTACAACATGATTCACGGGGTGGTGGATTGCAAAACACTTACATTATCGATAGCCGTAACATCAGGCATTATGTTAGACTACTGACAATGGAATGAACGGAAAAGATGAATGATTGGTGATGATTATGTCCTGTATGTTAAAAATGCATTTATTGCATTTATTTGATACAGTGTAGCCATCATATTTTAATTCAAATTCTAAGCTGTGAGTTTTAAAACCATGCCTGCCACCAAATCATATTTACAATTTCACCATTATTATTATTAATCACTAGAGTTAGTATATTTCCAGAATGCAACAATTAAGTTGTGCATGAATGGGTAATGTTATCCTGATGTCCACAAATGTACTTACATTCTTATAATTTGACATCTATTATCTAAATGAAAAATGTACAATATAGGGTGGGGTCCAGCCACTTGTAACAGTGACCTACCCAAACACTTCCATTTTACAAACTTTTACATGTTGTTTTGCCTTTTAACATGGCGAACTTAGTAGTCTGTCAAGGACAGGTTTTCCTGGTGCTTCCTGATTTGTTTAATAATATCTTTAATTAGTATGGTATAGTATGGAAGTGCAAATATTGGTAAGCTCATTTTTTTTTTTTTGAATTATTATTCACTTTAAGGATTCGTGAAAGGGCTGAATCACTGCATGCCAAAGAACACATCCATGTAAACGAAATTAGCATACAAGTCTTGTGCAGTGATAGACATTTGTTATGTCAGCTATATTCCCACATTCAGCACTCAAGTATTTCACCTTATACTGATGTCTACATCTTTGATTGATACAAAACTCTGGTGGTAATCTCTCATTCCCTGTTGGCATCGAACTAAGAGAAAATACTATGTGATTTATATACAGATATTGCATATATATATCAAAGAATTTCTGTCATTTCCCGTAAAGTCTCTTACAGTTATAGTATTGAAAAAAAAAATGTTTGTTCTACAATTTGTCACAGTTTTAGTTATCTTTGTAGATACCCTCCTTTGTGAGTTAGGTACAGCAGGTTGTACACTCCTTTGAAACAAAGTTTGTGAGAAAAATTTCTGCACACATCAATTTTTTTTCTTCAGGGAATAGACATTGTAATTCTAATGTTAGCACAGTACTATAAACCACCCAGTTGTTATTTTTTAAATTCATCACCTATTTTTGGTTTTTATTCATTCAAACACAAACAGTTAAAGGGTGGTGGTCGTCGCACAGCGCTTGTTCAAATTTCCTGTAAACAAACAATGTATTTTACATATATTGTGTACGTCGCTATGCGTCCCATATTGAGCAGGACATGGCACGACGACTGCCGCCCTTTAGATTGCAAAAGCAGATACAATAAAAAAAAAAATAATGCTTGTGAATTCTTACATGAGAAGTAAAGTTACAATATACATAATTGTGTATGACATTGAAATTACAAATGCGCATAATTAATGAGCTTCAGTGCTTCCAAATGACGAATCTTCTTAATTGTTGCACATTATTTATTAGATTTATTACAGTTTGTCTGTATATTTATTGTATGTATGAGTTTGAATCAATTCTGTCAGGGAAATTTCATATTACTGCAAAGTAATGGAGATTTTGTCTGCTTTGGTCATTTGAGGATAATTAAAAGAATTCAGTTTCAGTCCGCCATCCGCTGAATATCCATCTGAAGATTTCAGTTTTAATAGAATCTTTTTATTTTATGTGTCTCTAGCAAAATTAATTCCAATTACTGCATTTTAAACTATGTTCTGTATAAATTTTAAGTGTAGACAGTGGAATATTTTTTTTTTTAATAAATCTAACTTTTCAACATTGCTGTAACATCAAGCATACTTTGTTGATTTATACCAGTGACTATTGATGAACCAGCAAGAATTGGTAGTGTAACCTGTTCCAAAGCTGAGTCTAACATCTTTTCAAAACATTCATCAGATCAGACTTTGTAGACTGACACAATTTCTTCCATATCTGATAGGGTTTCTTGATTTTCATGGCCAAAGAATGCATTCATGTCCCCGTTTCTAGATTGGCAGGAGATGTTCAATCTGTCCAATAACTCACAGTAAAAATACTATTAATTTGGTGCGTAGTTTTTTTGTAATTTGATCTTTTTGCCATGTGGATTACAGTCGTATTGATTTTAGGAATGATGTCTGAAACTGGTGTCACTCGTTGAACACAATATTCATATTGACCTGTTATATTCCTTGATCATAGTGGAGAAGACATTGTTTGTATGATCCGAAGAAAACATCCATGGTGCTAGCTATCGCAGGCACTGAACATACAAATGAAAGTTTGCCTGACACAGAAAACAGACAAACTGCACGACCAGCAGTCCACATTCAAGGACTAGTACCTTGTTTTGAAGTCCATCTTGTCACCATCTGGTCCGAGTGATTCTCCATATGCGTGGTATGCAGATAATTGATGAAGGTGTAAAGCTGCTGCTGTAACTTGATGTACATAACAAGCTCGGGTTACATGCAGTCTTTCCAGTATAGCAGATTTAGTAATTTCTGCTTGAACAATCAGGTTGACCTGCCACTTCGACATAGAAAATCTCCAATTAGTTTCACAGCAATCATTGCCTAGCAACACCACAAATGTGTCCTCGGCAAGGTTTTAGACTATGGTTGGTCCATGGTTATGACATGTATCTAGTGTAAGA